AGTCTTTCCTCCCTGGTTTACCACATGTGGGTGGATTTGTTCTGTAGTATCAAAGGGTTGGGGAGGGAGGGTGCCAAACATTGATCCTGCTCAAGGCAGCAAAATGCCCTTCTCCCTGCCTTTCTACAGGGAGCTGAAATGCTCTCCAAGCCTAACCAGCGAATGCAAAACCTACTTTGCCTCTGAGCTTGTACCAGCGCTGATCAGTCTGTGGATCACACCAGGGGTGTGGCACAGAGACTGCCCATGAGCAAGTCCAAAGCACGCTCAAGGACCAGCAAGCAGCCAAGGGGACCCCTTTATTTGCACAGCCTCCTGCCTTAAGAGTGGGACCCCAAATATGCCCAAACAGGCTGGCCGCAATTCTGTCTTGGCTTTGCTAGAAAACCCACTTCCTTTATGCAACTGATTGTTATCGGTCCATTGAGTAGCCTTTTAAAACAGGATTCATTGTAATTATTATTCTTGGTTTTGTTCCTGTATTTAGGCTAATGCCGTCTAGCTTTTTTTGGTCTATTTTCCTTGCCTCAAATTGTGCTCCACTTAAGCCTTTTTTTTTATTATTGACTTCATAGCAGATTTCCCACTCTGTTTCTACTTCTGAAGAACTTCTTCTAGAACCAGAAAGGAGCCTGCCGGCTCTCTTGAGAAGGCAACTGGATAAGTATGCAAAGCCACATAAAAGGGATGCAATGTGATGCAATCATAAGGCAGCACATAACATTTTTCCCCAATCTTATATTAGCCCTGCGATGAAACTGAACTAAGCAAACTTACTCAACATATTTTTCTAGTCTGATAAAAGTCTTGAGATAACCACTGTCCAACAGCCAATAGCTTTTGCTAGAGCAGTTGCCTCTAGCCTGTCTTTCATCAACCTAAGCGCTTTCCTGACCATTGCTGTAGGCAGAACCGTGTACCTAAATCTTGCTTTACATATCCGGACCTCATCAATCTGTCTTAATATAGTATAGCCAGCTATGCTGACAAGCCAATGCATCTAGTTTTGAATGAGCTCTGCTTGTATAGTTTTGCCATAAAGGTTTCAAGATTCACAGATTCTCAGGGACTGCAAGGTCATCGGGTCCAGCAAACTTGTATGGTGCAAGACTCTGTGATTATTGAGAAAAGCAAGAGCTCCTCAGAACTGCAAACCATACTTTTCCTGCCTTCATACCATGTTCAAAACTGACAGTTTTAGAAATACGTGCACCCAAGTTCTTTCTCACGTTAGCACCGAATGCCTGATTCAAAGCTCCTGGTAGTCAATAGACTATTTCCATTGACTTTGGTTGGGTTTGGATCAAACTTTTCCCTGTTGGCATGACGCCCATATTCTACATTTTAAAGGATCAATGTATCTACCCCTTCCCCCTTTTTCTCTCCACCTTTCTTACTCTTGGTGTCGTCGAATGTGCTTAGATTGCTTTCTCTCTGCAGGTTATTGTGGGAAGTCAGCACCCTGGTGCAGGCAAGACAAGTCTGAAGCCAAATGTACATAGAAGGCTGTGTGAGCGTAAGCAAATCGGACTGACCTTTTCTTGCCCCATAACACTGTGAAATACTTCCCTAGTAAACTACTGAGGAGTTACAGAAGAAAGCACAGCGCGAAGAGCTGTGGCATGAGCTAAGAGGCACGGCTGTTCCTTCCAAACACTGCAGACCTCCTTAAATCTCATCTCTTTCTTTAAGATGAATGTGCCTTCACTTCCCCCCGCCGGCACAAGTTCCTGAAGCTGCCGGCAGGAACGTGAGTCCCGTCTGGTCCCTGTTGTACTCCAGCACGCTACAAAGGCAGATCTATATTGCTGCTGCTTATCTGAGGGGTCCAGCGCGCTCCTGGCTGGAGCCGTGATCTTTCCCGGTGCCCTAACATGACAGGCTCCGAAAACCTGCCGGACACGGCAGCTGCTCTGCTGTTTTCTCCAGCCCTGAACTCAGCCACCCGGCCAATCTGGGCTTTCCAGTGGGAAGTGAATAAACTTGTTTTCCTCTCTATTTCTCCTGCAGGGAAAACAACAGCTGCTGCCCTCCCCATCTCCAGGGAGATCCCCCCACCGCTCCGCTAGCCAGAACATTTCGAACCGAACGGAAAATCGTTTCTTTTGAATATTTGAGGGTGACAATCATCGATACCCAGCCTCAGGACAGCGCTTGATACAGCTACATTGACAGCAGGTGGACCAGAAGTCCTGATCTGATCCAAACTTCAAACTATATATAATGGGCTACAGCCTACAAAGTACCATTTCCCCCCACCTTCTCCCCCGCCACGAGGGATTTCCTCCCCCTGAAAAGTGTCATCCCACTGACTTCCACTGAGTTCTTATAAGGATGAAAATAAGCTTCCCTCCTATGTGTCGAGTGCAATACTTAAGGTCCACAGTGCATAATGGCCCATCCCCACTGATGGCAACGCTCCTATTAACTTCAGCTGGGCCAAGATTTTCCTCCAATTTTTCTTATATAGAGACAGGTTAAGTAAAATCTTGAATGGCTGGGGAGCAATAGGAATAAAATAACTGCTTGGCTAGGGAAAAAAAAAACGGTCCCAGATTTTGGGAGCAGTGGACCCAGATTTGGGTCAAATATGGTAGAATAGTGGAAAGGCCACATGTAGGGGGTATCCCTTATTGCTCTACACAAGTGTAATTATGATTTGAAATATTGTCAGAGGAGCAAAAGGGTTTGGGTGTGGTCATATGGCATCCTATGAGCTTCAGGTTCAGGGCTCGGCGATTAGAGGGAACCAATATGCCATGGCTGTGGATTTGACCTGTCAGCTCTCAGGTATTTGCAGGGGACCGCTGGGATGGAGAAAGATGCCCTTTGCAGTCTGTTTTACTGATGCGTGGTTCCCTCTGCCATCCCTTCGAGAGTCAATGCAAATCCCCGCATTGATTCCGGGAGGTGATGGATCAGACCCAGAGCCAGTCTCAAAATTTGGATAGATCGTATAGATCAGATCTTCTGTATACAGATTTTAGAGAGGTAACAAAAAACTATCATTATCACATTGGATTATGAAGACCAGTTATACCCACTTGTAACTTGTATCCCTCTGGAGGCAGCTAGGACTTCAGCACTTTCTAAAGCACATTTTTACTCATTTCATACTCATTGACTTATTTTTCCCCTTCTGCCTGTAACTCTTGGTACTAGTGAGCAACCGGTAGCAAAAGAGCCCTTCTGAGCTGACTCTCAGCCTGCGGACATACCTAAGGATTTAAATGGGATGCTGAATTTCATCTAAAAACTGAATCCTTAAAAGACACAGAATATCCAGAAGATTGGAAATAAATGCAACGTCCAGCACCAGGTAAGGGAGCTGATCATAAGGGAAGTCCCAATTGTAATAATCCTTTCCCTCTCATCAGAAGTTTGTGGCTATGAGACTTGACACTGAAAATAGCCTCATCTGGAAAATAGCCTCATCTGTGCCAAATGATAGGTATCCGTTTGGTTGCCACTGTGGTTAAATGCCAACATTTTTAAGGAGAGGCAGCTGCAGTCCGAACAACTTTAATGCAATGACAGCCCCTGAGCCACAAACATCTGGTTGGAAAAGCCCTGAAAGCAGCACCCCTATTATAGACAGTTGTCTGACTACCTTGTCCCAGTACAGAGCTCAGCATTTCTCTAACTCCATGAAAACACAAAAGCAGAAAAAGTTTTCATGGCACAAAAGCACAAGTTTGCACGTTGGTACAGGGCGATATTCTGCACTCTGCCTACTGCAACATGTATAGTTTTGAACACAGGGCTCCCTTTGACACATCTCTTTCATCCCCCTTCTCTGTCTCTCTTCTCTGTGAGTGGACGCCTGCTAACGACATGCTTATTTTGCATCCATCATCATCAGACTAGATGAACAGCTAACGAAGCACCTTCACAGGGTTGCGAGCATGCAATAAAAAATATATCCATATATGCACATTGCATAGCATCACAAGAACAAGACAAGCAGAGCGTAACCCTTAAGGGAGCAGGCTACCCAGTTGCCAAAAAAATGTTACAGGCATCAGCTACCTAAATCCTTGAGGCAGTTTTGATCATCTCAGCCTTACCTTAGACCCAAGCACAAACCTGATGCAGACCATCAACAATGTGCCATTATATTTCAGAAGGGAAAGGGCTTTCCTCTTTCATCTCTGTCTCATAGAAGGAGCAACCCTTAACTTTCAGCAGTACTGGGGTCAAGTATCCTGGTATGGGACAGCATTGTGACCCTTAAGCAGCGAAGTCAAGGAAAAGAGTCTTATGGACACCAGTGGCATTGGATGGAGCCCTGAATACACTTTGTTGAATTAGGAGCAGCAACATTCACCAGCATTACAAATAAGTCCCCCGCCCTCCACTTGCCCTTTGCAATAGGTGGCAGGTTTATTCCTGCTAGAAAGAGGGAGGGGAAGGAAAGTTTATCTACTTACTGCGTTGAGTCCGAGGGAGTTGTTCGGGAGAGATGAGGTGATTCCAGAAAGAATCGCTGTGGCTACCACAGCCCCCAGGCACTGAGCAATAATGTACATAAGTGCCTTAAAGAGGCTGATCTGGCAGCTCACGAGAAGGCCCAGGGTCACCGCTGGGTTCAGGTGGGCACCGCTGATGTGGCCCACGCTTTGTGCCATGGTGGCAATGGCTAGCCCAAACGCCAGCGAGACCTTCACGTTGTCTTGAGTGGCGGTGACTGTCGTATTGGAGCCTAGGGGGAAATTGAAGCCCAGCGCCGAGCCGATGCTGATGAAAATAAAGAGGATCATGGCAAAAAACTCAGCCACCACTGCCCTCCAGAAGGCTTTCTTTTTGAATTCGCTAGCCATCGTTTCACTCTCTCCCTTTCTCTCTCTCTCTTCCCCTGCTGGATATTTTCCCTTTGAGGTCTGAGGAGCAAGCTGGAGAAAAAACAGTGTTCTTGGTTTATTTATAGGGCTTTGGGTGGTCTGTAGGAGGAAAGGGGTGTTGCACAAAGGGAGGAAAGAACGTCTACATAGATGCTGACTGCTAGATTGATGTAAGACACTGCACGCATGCCAAAGTTTTTTCTTCCCTTTTTTTTTTCCCCCTGCCTTCCCCTCCCTTCACAGGCTTCGATCTCTGCTGCTGTTTTTGAGAGGCTTTTTAAAACTCCTTATAAAAGAGTGCTTAGGAATTTTATCCTAACTCATTTGCCCTCCCTACAGCCATTCAGCATGCAAGTCGGACGGACGGCTGTTGCAGGAGTTCTCTCTCCCGGGACTAAACTAAAAGGAAAAGCCCTGGTATCTGTGCAAGCCTGCATATTATTCTGCCTCCACTTTAGCAGAGGCTGGTGACATCTGAAGTAGTAAATACAACTGACAGCTAAAAGTACACTCAGGAGACTCTAAATATCACATTGTGTTTCATTTGAATCCAGGTAGGCAGTGCTCTCTGCCAGCTCTATACGGACTCTATGATTACTTTCAGATGCCAAAGTCTGCCTTTCTTTCTATCGGTCTGTCTGTCATCTAGCTAGCTAGCTAGCTATTTCAAAAAATTTTTAAAAGCCAGAAGTCTAATCTACCATGATGAATGCTTTCGTGCCAAACCCTTTGTGGGGCCACGTATCTTTTTTGGCTTGTAATATTTGTAAAACGTTATGAAAAAGGCAAATCAAAAGTCTGTCGGTCTTTCTGTCGCATTACAGACTTGTCTTCGTTAACGCTCGTCAGACAGGTTGTGACCTCAGTAACCCGGTGAGATCCTGGACTCGCTCCATCAAAGCAATTTGAAGGTTTTACAGACGCGCAGCAGGGCGAGCAGAAATAACTCTCTTCATGCACTTCGCCATCAACCGAATGTCTCTGATTTTTCCCAGCGTAGCTCGAAGCTCCGCGTGTGCCGTTTTGTGCATGATTTTATATCAGGGGGGATTTTATATAAGCTGTTGTAGGCCGTCTGTACTCGCTGCACCCATTCACCGAGGCGCTGTGAAACCTCTTTGTAACTTCACCAGGCGGCTATGAAACCAACTTTTTTCATTGCTGTCACTCTGTGTCCCTTTTTACACCCAGCAAGAGCATCAGGGCTTCCCCTACCTCTTCCCTTGACACTCCAGATAGCTGTAAGCAAGCCCCGTGGGGGCTTTCTAGCCCAAATCCTACAATGAAAGTATAATACATACTTTTTGTTAACTCTCCTCTTCCAGGGGCAGCTGTCCTTGCTGTCACCAGGGAGACTGGCTTCTGCTGCTGTGGATATACAGCACTGGCCAGGGAAAGGAAATGGCATGCTTGGTTTTGCATGTATCGTGTGAAAACATCTTTAAGTGCAAAGGGTCTCGGAGCCTCTGCTCTTATCACATTAAGACCTACGTAAATCCACTGGTTTAACTTTCACTGTCAGATCGACGTGGACTTTAAAGTCTTCCCTGAGTCAAAGACCCTTCTTTCTTCAAACACTGACTTCTAAGTTCCTACTTGAGCTGATCCAGATCCACAGGGGGCTGAAGGATCCTTGGAGCATTACTGGTATTTTAAATCCGCCTAATTTGCCTTTTTAAGAAAGCAGCGTTCCTTTCTCAGCTGCAGCTAAACTCCATTCAATGCTTCAGCGACAGCATTTCCAGTAGATAAGAAAGGACGGCAAAAGGACAGGAAGAAAGAAAGCATGTCTAACAAATATACACATGGATAACACTAGACAGCCAGGAGGATATTTTTAAAAACATATTGAGCTCTTTTAAATCTGATTTCAGATAAGAAGCTGAAAATTGTTTAAATAAAAATCCAGATGTCATCCTGTCTACAGTCCCTCATTGTGTGTTCCCATTCTTTCTGTTCAGCAGATGTTCTGGAGTTATGTAGGAACAGGCTATATCTCATAGTGCTGCCTAATGCACGTATACAGGGCATCTGTACCAGCGAAATAAGAAAATAAAAGCGAGTTCTCATTACAATAATGATCAAGATGGCACATGAGAGAGAAATCAAATGAAACCACACCACACACCAAGTGAAATCATGGTGTTAGAGTACAGAAAATAATTTCTGATTGAACCATCCTTGAGACAGCAGGCTTTCCCACTTTGGGGCTTTATGCCAAACCTGTATCCTAAAGTCCTTAGAGTTAGAAAAATACACTTACAACTATTGTCTCATTGTTACATCGGCCTCCTTTATCTCTCTGTCCATATCCACATTTTTTCTCTTATCTTGCTCTCCGATTGTAAATTCTTTGGGCTAACGGCTACTGTACTACAAACAATCAGGAATGTAAACACTGGGTACATTTAAGGAGAATAATTATGAAATGCAGAAAGGAGAAGGAAGATATATTGCCAGGTGACACCTTTGAAACACTCTGATAGACCATGGGAAACTATGATCCTATCTTATACGCCTCGAATCGCACATACATAAGAATGCAATGATCGTTACATAGGATTATTAATTTTCTTGTCCTGCCATAGTGTCAAATTAATTTGCTCCTATCGTCATTCTGTCATAGTATTATTATTCATTTGCTTATATGACCCTAGCGGCAACTTGTACATTTGCTTGTATTACCGCAGTGGTTAGGTGCTGTGCGCGTATTGAACAAAAAATGATTCCCTGCCCCAAAAAGCTGGCCGTCAAAGATAAGAGAGACCTGACAGACCCAGAGAGCTGGGGAAGCACAAGGAAACAGTGAGTCAACTGGATGGTAAGAAGGGCAGTAGTCCCCCTGCATACTAACACTTAAAGTAAGACGACTGAGCAGAGCAATGTAAAAGCATGATAGAGAGAGAGAAGCGAAAGGCAGGTAACCTCGAATCATTTCTCTAGCAGCTTTTTTTGGTTAGTGGGAGCTTTGTCTGAGAGAGGATGCCAGGCTGTGGACCTTTAATGTTATCGTTAGTCCAGGAAAGTGCCATTCACAAGTATCCGTCACCTGTGAATCCAACTTCAGCCAGCTCCATGGGGTCTCTCTAGTCAATGAGGGGTCATGCATCCTGCTACAGTGAGTTGGAGACCCTTATCTCCGCTTGGTCAGTAAGTGGAGGATGGAGCTGAGAGGCCTGGAATATGGGGTGGTCACAGTCTTATGGGCTGGAATATGGGGTGGCTGCAGAGTTAACCTCACTCTTGTGAGACAGGCCAAAACATAAATGGCTGGACCACACCTTCAGAAAACAAATGAGTGCGTTGGTTACAAGACAGGCTTTGTTCAGCCAGCCTAATTTTTCCCATTTCCCTACCACTTGAGTCAGAAACAATGCCGGGCCCTTCTCATTTAAGTGATGCTAAACTTGTTTTCTCCTGTTGACAACGTTGCGTCTATGGGAATTTTCCAGCCACATGAGGGGAGGGTCAAAGTCAAGGGGCAGAGGGAACATGCATTGACCCCTGGGCCCTGGTGATCCATGGGAAGTGGTAGGACTAGCTCAGGAAACAATGGTTAGATCTCCTGGTAGAGAGCATGGCAAGGTAGCAAGGGTCAGAGTTATCCAAGTTCACGCATAGATAGCCCCAGACTCAAATCAGATGCCCAACACGCTCTATGAAAGGAAGGTCTGTGGGACATAACTAGTGTATAATTACACACACAAAAACTACCTTCCTCCTCATCCGTCCTGCCTGGGCACCAGCAAGGAGAAGTCAGACAGCTCGGGAGTGACAATCTCAGCCTCATTTCACAGCTCTTGCAGGCCCCGAATGGAGCAGGTTCAGTACAAACATGGCTAAGAAAATTGCTACCAAATCCTAACAATGCTCTGCTCACCAGAGAGACTCTACAGTTTTCACAGGCTGTAATTTGGCAAAACTCCAGTGTTTTTCCTAAGCGCAGTGGAGAGCGCAGGGTAACAGCTGCACCAAATTTCAAGCCATGCTTCAAAGCACGATGGTACCAGACCTTCTCAGCGAAGCAACTTCCGGTTTTTTTCATCTAAAGATGGGCAAAGCACTTTTTCCACTCAAATTTGTTCTTGGAAATGGCCAAACTACTGTTTGGATGGAACCGGACCGAACGTTTCAGCCAGCAGCAGACTGGATAATGCAAAGCCTATGGCTCGGTGGCAAAGGCAGTATAGTAGGAAACAACACATGCAAGTTCAAATTCCCTCTGGGTGAGGGGGCTTCAAGGCCATTCTCCCACGCCTTGGGCAAATGCCCTAACCACTAGGCTTCTGGGCAACTTTTGACCTACAGTCCATCCCCGTGGCTGAGAGGACTGGCAGCGTGTGGTGGCAGGGGCACTGAGATATTTCTATTGCACATTCCTCCTCTCCTTTCCCCTCCTTGCTCTTGTCCTTCACATATGGTCACTGCTGAATTTTCTCCTCTGCATGTCATTGGCCACATGGATCTGCAGCACTTAACGGTGATGGTAGGTGGACACGGCAGGTCATGCGTGAAAGAAAGAGAGAGCAAGGTGGGTGGACAATGAGTGGTCCACGGTGGGGGATGGAGCTCAAGCACCCTGCTCTCCGTAGAGGTTGTCAACAGCTGGGGTAAAACATGGGAATACTCTTCTCCCAAGTTGGTGTCTTGACATCCGAAAAAACTACTTCACAGTTAGGGCGGCTAGGAGCTGGAACCAACTTCCAAGGGAGGTGGTGCTGGCCCCTACCCTGGGGATCTTTAAGAAGAGGCTGGATACTTACCTGGCTGGACTCATTTGAGTCCCGTTTTTGTTTTTAGGGTGAGTGTTTTTTTTTTGGGTTGTTCTCCCGCCCTGGCGGGGGGTCGGTCTAGAAGATCTATTAGGTCCCTTCCGACCCTGAAACTATGAAACTATGACTTGATAGTCACGGGAGATTGCCCAGCTACAGCTTTGGGACCTACAAGCATATGATGCTGCATACCTGCCCAGCCAACCTGTGGTCCATGCCTCACTGAGCTGAGTCCAAATGGGCAAACCACAAATGACCCTAAAAGTAGCCTCAGTGACTGCCCTATTAAATCAATTGAAGTGCGTTTTTTGATGTGGCAAGAATTCGTGACTGTGACACTTGGACAGAAAGCGTCAGGAGACAGGCCAGCTGAAAGCAACTTCAACCAGCTGAAACTGGTAACAACTCGTAGTCTCCTGCAACTGCAGCTGAAAGGGTTCTCAGGCCTGTTGTTGGTCCCTGAGTCATCCAGTGATCTGGCAACAAAGATTGCGCATCACGGCTTGATGAGCCAAAAGCTAGCAGGAGATG